TGTTGTTTGGTTTTTTTTTTAACGTTGTGAATTAAACACACTCATTCTTCAGGTGATCCTCATCGCCTGCACTTGTGTTTTTTGGTGCTTTCAAAGGGAGATCAAAGCAGACTTGGAATGTACTCAGCTTTTACGGAAAAGGAGAAAATTAACCTAAAAGATAAATAATTGTCTGGGGTCCCACAAGGGTGAGCTGACCCCTGCAGCAGGTTGCCGTTGCTCTGACTCCTGTGTTAGGGACACACGTCCAGTCAGATGAGGCAGCAGGGGCTTTTCTGGATCAGGTTCAGGAACTGGGTAAATAACGCGTCTGCAGCTGAAATAACCCCCCACAATATAGCTCTCTTCGGTGCCTTAGCCGCAGCCTAACCTTCCCCAATAGATGTTAAGAAGACTTGGTAGTGTTTATGAGAAACATCAGCTTCCCTAATCGTTCATTGATCTGTTGTTCTCAGCAGAATGATGAAGTTTTCGCTGTTATTTTGCTCCGTTTCACTCAGATTCGTTTGACTTGAGCCGAAGGACAATTTAAGATGGCCAGGAACAATCGCCTGTTACTCCCAACTGACAGGATAATTCTAGCTTTGCTGTTGGGAGCTTAAAATGCTTTACCTGTGCTCAGCTAATATTAGTTGTAATTAAGGGAATGGGTTGTCTAAAGCTCGTTTTTACAGTTCATCACCTGGAAAAGAACCTCTGAAAATAGCCCTTTTATTTTTGATGTCATTTTGGGACAGTGTATCTCTGTTCGCCCTGTGCCCGCCCACCCACACCCTCCAAAGCGGCTGCCCCAGCACAGCTGAGGAGAGCAGCGGCCGCCCATTTTTCGCACGCGCCTAGCCGGAGGCACAGCAGCCTCTTAGGGCGGGGTGGCGCCTGGAGGCACGAGGAGTTTTAGGACATATGGCCTTGACTGGCTCTGTTGTCATCGAAGGGTAATATGTTTTTAGGTCTAAAAACAAAAAAAAGGCTATGTTGGCGATAGTAGAGGCTGTTAGGAGACTGGTTTATAGGCTACTGTGCCTGGTTTTTGGGGTGCAGGACAGCGCTGGGCCTCAGGGATAGCAAGCTGTGGAGAACAAGTACTCACCTCCTGTCCGAAAAGGTATATGAAGAGTTTTTCTCTGGTAAATATATCCAACTTGAATCCTGTGGCTTGGTTTTAAAGCAGCTCGTGAGGCTTTAGATTTGTCAAGGATTAATACTTTTAGAAGCATGCCCTTTCTTATTTCAGGTTCTGTTACCCTGCAGGCCCAGTCAGAGGAGCAGACACCTTTGGCTCTTGAATCCTCAGAGGTGGCTCCTCATCTGCTTTCAAACAGCCAGGCCTCTGCTCGAAGGCCTGGATGAACAGCATCGCTTGTCCCTTCATGACAGGGAGCCTGCGAATTTCAGCCTTTCCCTCGTTCAAATCTATATGCTTGTTTGCGCTGTCGTACCCAAACAACTTTGGGGAGCCAAAATGCATTTACCGAAGCAGCAGGAGTGCTATGGCAGACTGAATCTGTTGCTGCCTCACTCGATGGCTTCTTCACATAATAGGTCATGTCTCAGGAGCTGGAAAAGTGACAAGGAAAGGCAAGCTTATGCTGGCCAGGAATTCCCAGTCAAAATAATGCTGTAATGGGGTTAGAGGGGAGTCCTGCAAAATCACAGTGGTCAGCAATCAAAATCGGAGGTTGGCAGAGTCCATTTGGTTTTCCCGGTCAGAAACTTTTAGTTTTAAGTCTGTTGACAATTAATCTGCCTCTTTCCATTCCAGTTGTAGGTTATGGGAACAAAATACAGTTATTTGTATCCTTGTCTCCTTTTTTTCTTTCACGAGGGACAGACTCATGAGAAATGTATTTTTGCAAGGACCTCCAGCCTTAGCAGGAGAATCAAACTAGGAGGTGACACTGCGACTACCATGGCTGTGAGGCACTCTACCTTCTTGGTGGGACAGAGATTAATGTTGAAGCAGAACTAGCTCAAATAGAGCAGTAGGATACCTGATCTTATAACTGAATTCAGGATACCTGAATAGGAAAGCGTTCAGCCTTGTATACAAAGGATGAGAGGTTCAAATAATGCCTAACCTTGGCTTGAGTTGCAGAGGAGGGGATCAGGCAGGCTGATCCCATCTGGTGTGAGGATGTGCGAGTCTATATGAAAGCCAACAGGCATCTTTGCAGTGACTCCAACAGGGCTTGGAGTGAGGTCCAGGCAGGCAGGTGTCCATTTTCAGTAAGAATCATGTCAAAACTTGAAGTGACTGGCAAAGTGACAGCGTTGGCCAGGAGTGACCAAAACCTGAGCTGTCTGCTGCGCTCCCAGTACGTTCTTTTTCAAGCTGGACCAGTTAGAAAACACATCACTGCAAAACATGTTATTGTTCTGCATTTTTCATTCAAATTTGAATTAAAAAAATAGAATAAACCCCCAAAATAATATAACAGACCACTAGATTTGGTCAGTCAGGTTGCTATGTTGTAGTAAATTAGAAACCCTTTGGTTTAGTTTCATAATTTTGTTTTGCAAGGATTAACATGGCAGTTTCTCCAGCAAATAAATAGGTGTTGCAATATGATGGAAGCCATGGGACTGGAAAGGACACTCTGGCTTGTCAAAATACTTGCCATAAGTTATCATTTCAGTCAGATAAACCAAACAAAGTAAGTACAGGGCTTCTGGGGTAGTTCACAATTATCAACAACAAAACTTTGGCCTTTTCTCCTCTTTTTTTAAACTTTGGAATGAAGATTTGCTGCTGCGTGCGTGTGTGTGTAATTTCAGTGCCATGCTGAATTAGGACCCTTTCAGGTGGACTCGCTTTTTGGCAGTAAATAAGACATATCCTAAAAATAGAAAAAAATGGTTAGAAGTGGTAAAAATTGGCAGGGAGGACTTGGTCAGATGAAGTTTTGGAACTGCTTTTAATTTTTTTCAATTCAATTCCAAGTTAAACATCCCTTTAAATTAATTAGAGCAATCACAGTATCCCTAGAATATCAGTGGAGAAACTGAAGCCATAAGTATAATATTTCTTAAATTCTGAACAGAGGCTAAAAAAGCCAGCTTAAGGAAATTTTTGCGTATTATGAAAAACAAGTTCCTGACCAAACTGGCTAAACTGAAATGTCTGAAAGCAAAGAGCTATCATGAAAGTGCTGGAAAGCTTCTGATTATAATGGAATGAGTGTCCTAGGGTATAATGCAGCTCTACATTTAATATTGAGCTACTGAACCGTACTTCTCAACCTAGCTCAACTCACTGGGTTCTCATCGAAGTCCTGTAATGGCACTGTGCTCTGTTTAGATGCCAAGCAAGTCTTGAAATAGCTCCAGAGCTTTTTCAGCAGCTTCAGCTACGTACAGATGTTTGACTTTAGAAGGACAGCTAGTGCCTAGAGTTTGTGGCATATAAATCCTTCCTTATGTATAGTGCCACGCTTGTTAATAATCTTACAAACTTTTATAAACCTAATTAAAAGGCTCTTGCACACTTACATAGGAAATCATGACAACAGCACTGAACCAGCAAAGCAAAAACCCGTCCTTTGTGCTGCAAATCCATGTTGCCTGTCTTTATTAATGATACATACACAACACATTTAATTCGAAGCCTGCTGTCGTTTGCCTGTTTGTTTTTATTACGATATTGACTGGAATCCCCATCATGTTGGTTGTAGTCTGTGCACATTACTCTAAGCAGAATTTTTCTTTCTGTGTATTGTTTAAGGTATTGACTTTGCCAAAGGGAAGAAAAAAGTGCGTGCATCCACTTAAGCACACAAGTAGTTATATAAATTTATGTCCATTAAATATATATATACACATAAATATACACATGTATAGTGCATACGCTGGTTGTTGCAGGATGCTGCAGGCATGGCATTAGGTGAGATCTGAAAATCATATTTGAGAGACCCTTTCCAACATGGAGGTCCTGTTTCTGGGAGCCGCTCTGGGCAGGAGCATCCCTCAGGCTGTATGAAGCCCTGTTGAGAGGGGGGGGCCTCTATGTGAGAGCTGAAATGACACTTCAAAGGCTTTTGCAGATTTCTAGGCCATTTATTTAAACTCCTTAAAATGCACTTTATTTTCTAAAAGAGCATACTTTTAAATATTTTTTTTTCTTTCTAAAAATGTCTTAGATCTGTTAATCTTTTGGACTTTGAAAAACTCGTTCTAGTTATTGGGTTTGGGGGTGTTTTTTCCCTTTACAACCCAGGTTATCAATTCCTGAGTATAAGCAGGAGGGTTATTGAATAGTTCATCTAAACCAAACAAGGATTTCAGCCAACACAAACATGCAGCAATCATTTTGCTAAAGGTTTTGATGCTGATTCTGATCAAAGTTTGGGATATATAGCATATATGGTTCCAGCACTTCCAAATGAAACTTGCAGCTGAATCTTTGCAAACATTCAGTGATTTATTTCATTTAGAAGTGCTTTGTCTTGAATTACTTTTCCAGACCTGCCCCTCATTTCTACCATCTATTCCTGTTCGATGGTGAGCTCTTCCAGAGGTGTCTCTCTCACCCTGTGTTGTGTCCCTTCAGTCTCACCCTGAAATATCTCATACAACAGAGAGTTCCTTGCAGACAGACAATCTTACCTGAACTGTGGCATTGCCCCAGTGGACTCTGCTCATGTACTGCAGAGGCCTTTGACCTACTCTCTGCTTTGAGTTGTGCAAAGTTATCCTTTCGTGCATCTTTAATACTTTACTGTGAATTTCTGTTCAACTGTAATAAAACTGAGAGGAATGGCTACCTCTTTATTTTCTACTTTTCAAACAAGTATCTCTAATAAACTGAGTTAAACCGAAACAGAAACGTGCTTAAAATCAGTAAGTTGAAAAATAATTTGTTCTCCAAAGCGTGATTGTTTTGTTTTGTTTTGTTTTTTCTCTTGGGTACCAGCATCTCCTATTAAAGCATCCGCTGTATGAGAAATTCAGAACAATTGAAAATGGACCATTCCTAATGTGTTTGTTTCATTTTTCCTTTTCAGTCTATCCGAGAAGTCACAGGCTATGTTTTGGTGGCTTTGAATCAGTTTGAATACCTGCCACTGGAGAACCTGCGCATTGTTCGTGGCACCAAACTCTATGAAGAGCGATATGCTTTGGCCATATTTCTTAACTACAGAAAGGATGGTAACTTTGGACTCAGGGAGCTTGGCTTGAAGAACTTGACGGGTAAGTGAAACTTGCAAGTGTGATGGATTAGTCGCTAGAGAAAAAAATGAACTTGTTGAATATTTGCCCCAATGCCCTCAGTCACTTGCATTCTGCAAATCATGGAGGTACCATGAGTGGCTGGCAGTTGTACGTTGTTTGATAGGTTTGTTGGTACTTCAGGGGTTTTTTTTGGTTCACAACTGTACTTTTTCTCAGTACTGATCAAAAGCTGTGTCTGGAAGTCATGCCAAGAGCACATTTGAAACAAAAATAGATGTTGAAAGAGTAGATTATCTTTTTTTCTTAATTTTGATATCATGAATGTGTTGGTTTCCTTGTGATCCATGGTTATTGCATGTATGTTGCTGCAGGCGTTCTGTATTTTCTGCCAAGTTAGCTTAGCTTTAGCATCGCCTCTGCTCTTGCTGCTGTCTGTGTCACCATTGCTGCTCCACTGGGGGTTGGGGAGAGAAGGAAGGGGGTGGGAGGGAGAGACTGTATCTTTGGTGTATTTAATTTTAGAACTCTCTTTTCTAAGCAAAAATAGTGCATTATATACAGTAAGAAAAGTGCTTATTTTCCTGAGACAAAACCGTAAGCCAAGTCCATGGTTTTATGTTCATCTGTAAATTCAGGGCTGGATTGTGATGTGGGGTAGATCAACATTTCATTTCTCCCAGCTGAGGATCTACAGTCAGTGGTTTGGGAGATTAAAAATTGGCTAAATATCACTGGACTGTAACTTAATACAGGCAGTGGCAAACTCTTTTTAGGGAGTTCACTGGAAGTATTTTGTTTATACCTGGTTCCTCATCAGCTATGATCATTTCTACCCTAAGCTTTGGTAATTGTGAAATGGGCTTATTTCTGCTAGTGGCTAAATGCTGACTGAAAATCACTGACCTGAGCTGGATGTAGAGCTTGATCCTGAGTACAGAGAGGTGGGAGCCTTCTGAACTATATTTAGGCACCCTTCACTCTCTGCCTTTTTGGTGTCGCAGTATTCAGAGCAGCATACAAGTGCTTACAGTCCCCTGTTGTTCAACCCTCGCTGGACTGTACAACTAAGCTTCAAAAACAGGAGGGAAAAGGAAGCTTGAAATATTTTACAAAATAAAACTTTTTTGACTGACTCTTTCTGATCAGGCTTTTTTTTCTGGTCATATTTTTTACTATTTTCTTAACTGAGACCATCACGCTGATATCCAAGTGCTTCCCATGGTCTCTAAATCCCTGCCATCTACTAGTCTTCTCTCTGTCGCTGTCATAATCACATTTCCTCCTCTTCTGTTCCCATATTTCTTCCCATCTTTCTGATTTAGGGTGTTCATTGTGACTGTCTATGCCTTCACGTAATATAGAGCCATAGTATCGAGTAATAATAGTATTACCTGTTTCTTCATATACTTTTTCTTGTCTGTGGGTCTCAAAATGCTTTGTAAAAGAGACTAGGCTGGGTGAAACTGTGACAGAGAGGTGATGTGAGGCCAAGGCCAGAGAAGGACTGGAACCCTTTCCTCTTGGGTCTGAGGCTGTTATTCTGCCAGGTGGTGAGGGTTGTACTTCAAGTGCTTGTTTAACCATGGCTTTGCTGCTCAGTAAGGTAAAACCCCTTATTTTGTAGGCTCTGGCTCAAGATTTTCTTCTTGAACCAGCTGCCCTGTGCCAATAGGCAGTTCCTTGGACTCCAGAGATTCTCTCTGGAAGCCACTTTTACATGATAGGCACAGCACCAAAACTGCCCAGCAAATAGCTTGACTTTCTTTTCAAATGTTGTTAAGAAAACCTGCTTTAGCTCAGCCTCTGAGTCGTTCTTAACATGAAATCATCATTGCCACTTCATCTGATCTAGGTGTTTACAATGGCCTCTGAAGGGATTATTTGGCTCAAAATGTATTGTTGTCTCTTGGAAGAAAAGTGCCCTAATAACACTAGCTTGTCTCCACTGAGCACTTAAAATAGCTTCTGGGTGCTGAATATGAGCCAGTGTGTGCTTCAAAATACCCTTAATATTTTCTAGATAGCATGTGCCAGGGCCTCATAAGTCTCTGCAGCAGCTGTTCTTTGACCATTTTGTCTACTGGTTAAGATGCACCTGGCTATTTTAACCCACAACCTGCTGCTTGTTGCAAATGATCTCCCTGGAGCATATTAATACTTAATTTATTTTCCTAACACATCCTTACCATTAGTAGCTGCATAAAAATAACTGGTGGATGTGGGAGTCGGTGATGTTGCAAGGCTGCGATAGATCAGCTGTGTCTGAACCTATCCTGTGTCTACCAACTGCTCCATATTTACATCAGAAATAGCCAGTGATTTGTTATTAAATTTAAGATGAAGCAGCCCCTGTGAGCGTGCATTGTTCAAGCTTCTAGTCCACTGCAGATTTCAGGAGATTGGCTTTGAATGGTGCATCTCTTCCACTCCAGTGAAATACAAACATAACTCCTGCCTTGCATGTGAAGAACTGTCTTTCTAGGGCTTATGCTTTGTTCACAGAAATTTGGGAAGTTCTCTTCTTATGTGTGCAGTGTCAGGATGATGGTATCCTGAGGGTATTTCTGCCCAGTACTGCACAATATACCAATACAATCACTACTCCCTGTGTTAAATAAATGAGAAAGCTGCTTTCACCTGCAGATTATCCTCAGACTTAACCAGAGACAGGGTTTCAGCCTCCTGTGTGGTACCATTGCATTATTTTCAGTGTGTTGTTAACAGCTGTGTTTTTATTGCCAGATATGTCTATCAGGTTTTCATATTTAAATGTAACTTTAAACGCTTGAATTTCCTCCCTTATGCTATAAAAAAATGACAGCTATGAAGGCAGTAAGTTTTATCTCACACAGAAAACATGATCCAGTTCTTACTCGTGATGTCTGCCAAACCCAAAAGGGAGTTTTGTTTGTGTAGCGCAGGCCAGGACCACGTCCTAAAATTCACGTCACGCTTGCAAAAACACTTACCTATAAAAATCCTTTTCTCACTTGTTGTAAAAACTTAGTCAATGGTTCCATAGAATTGTCAAAAACAAACAGACGTTGAACTAATGAAGTGGCTGCTGCCATCTCAGCTGGATTCATCTCAGCTTGCGGATTCAGCTGCCAAGTATCCTTAAAGTAAAAAGGACGGTTTGACATACTGAACGTATTACTCAGCCTGAGATTAGCAGAATAACTGATGCTGAGGGAGAAGGTATGCCACCTTCTTCCATTCATTGCCTGGGAGCTAGTGCAAATCATTCCTGTCTTCCCCAGGTAGCTAGGCAGTCAAGCTTAACTTATCCAATGAAAGGGCATAATCATTGTTCACACTTTGAGTACTCCAAATATAGAGAATACCTGATGGCTGCGTTTCATTACGGCATTTATCTTCATGAGTGGGGAAAGAGGGATAACTCACAAGTGCCAAAACCACTTATGAGGTATTCCATATTTTCCTCTGAGTGAAGATGAATAAGAGAGATTTAAGGCAAGTGATGTATCTTGGAGCAGTGATAACCTCATCTCCCCTATTGGCCTTGGGCACAGAGGCTCCCCTGCCTGTGCCTGTGCAATCACTGAATGCCTTTAATATACTGGAATGAAATGGACTTAGCAGCGATTAGTTCAGTAACACAAAAAAGCAGCAAAATATGTAGTTTCTTATCTGCTTGTTTTGCAGGAATGTAGATAAATGATACATTAAGATAACTGAGGTTCAAGCAACAAATGCATATTGTAACTGAGAGGATTTGGTCAGTGGTAGCCAAAGAAAGGAAATCTAATTTGGTGAGCGGGAGAATCATAGGGAAAGGACCATCTTCACTGGGTGTAGAAAGTGATCCGTTGTAAATTTCCCCTTCTGCAGATTTTTGTAATAGGTTTTACTTTTTTAGGTTTTGATTAAATTTATTTTTAATTGTTCTATAAACAAAATTTTAAAGTTCTGTGATAATTTCTATAACATTTTAATTTTCTTTTTTTTCCCCCCACAAGAAATAGAAAATGCTAAGGTGTCCTTTAGAGGAGAGAGAAAAAGAATGATATCTCTTATGAAAAGATTGCTTTTCAATGAGTTTCTTGGTTTTTTCCTAACAAGGACTGCTCATTTGCTCTAATTATATTGCACCTTGATCAGGTTGGAGGGAGGGGCATGGGAGGACTTGAATTTTCTTTCAGTTTTGTTCACTGTGCACATTTTGGCGGGACAGTGTTTTTGGAAATCTTACTTAGATACCCACTCAGGACCTGAGCTCCTTCAGCACTGTGTGACTGCACATAAAGCATTTTTGCGGCAGGGATCAGGGCCGCTCCCTTTTTATTGCCTTGATCACAAAGCCCTCAGCCTAACAAGGCCCTCAGCCTACGTCAGCAAGACCTTTCCTTGGACCACACACACGTTACACAAGCCGCTGCTGAGTTCACGATGTTTAGAGATGCGAACGCCTGTGTGTGACACCCAGCCTGAGCGGATGAGGCTGTGGCACATTCCTTAATCACTGCGGCTTCGTACGAGTGGGGTGAGCTGGGAAGAAAGCAATATGTAACTTGCCTCAGGCTTCCTATGCAACAGGTGGGCAAGGCATCGCATCTCTAACCTCGGAGAGGCGTTGCTAGGATACATGGAGGAATGAGGAATTTGTTTTAAGAATCCCTTTGGACCCCTCTGCATGCAGGGCTGCTGCAGGAATTATCTGCCCTGTAGAAGCAGCTGCAGTGGCTCTGTGACTGCCCAGGAGTGCTCCTTTCCCTGTATCCTCAGAGCTGCACTGACCACAGAGGTATTTGTATCCAAGTGCATCTTTACTGACTGGCCGGTGGGTGGGAGAAAAGGGAGGAATGCCTGGAGTATGGCTGTCCTTCTCTTGGAAAGGAGGGCTCTGCTGTGTGGGGGCACAGTACAGGACCTGCCATGGGTTCCCCTTGCTCACTTCATCCCTATGGAGAGAAGGGCCAAGGCTTGTGGCTGCCCCCCATGTCCATAACTGTAAGTGTGCCTGCTAGTGCACATCTGTCTCCTCTCTCCCAGGACAC